TAATAGTTGGGGTTTTCATGCTTGTTGTTTTTTTTTTTTTTTTGTCTGTCTTTTTTTTGTCTGTTTTAAAGCAAACCTGAATTTTCTATATCACCCTAGGACAGGGGTAGGCAACCTTGGCAAATCCCATCATGCCTGTGGCTGTCAGTCTTGCAATGCTTCATGGGATATGTAGCTTCACCACAGCTGGTTACCTACTCCTGTCCTAGTAAATTCTCAATAGGTTCCAGGACATCCTCATTAGTTTTCTTCAGTTTTTTTGTCACTGTGCTTCTAGAGCCTTGAAAGCCGTCAGTACTAAATTCCCACTTAAAGCATCTCTGTCCTTGGAAAGAAGAAATACTGAACCAAACCAAAATCAGACTGATAATTAAAAAGGAATTTCCTGTCTGGTGTGTAGCGATGCCAGCGTTCACTCTTGCAGACTAGGGCTCTGCCGCTGGTGTCCTAAATTTCCAGAATTGTTAGATGCTGCGTGCCCCTGTGTGCGCTCTTTTACCCGCTTCCCGCTACGTATCTAGAAACTATCTTCAACTGAGTTTTAAAGACAAACTCAAAATTGGAACACTGGTATAAGCAAAGTTGGAACTCCTTCTGTTTTACAATTTTTGTTTCTTCTGTGGGGTACATGTGTGTTCTGTATTTATCACTCCGGGTTCTAAATTGGCTCTATATGCATGTGAGATGGGGACCTTAGATTGTAAGCTCCTTGAGGGCAGGGATGATGTGAATGGTCTGTATGTAAATTGTTGGTGCGATATAAATAAATGTGCTGTACAGACAATTATGGTGGATGATGTAATTGACGGATGCTGTCTGCCATTTTTATTGTGCACTTATTTGATCAATTGCTCTATCAACAAATAGTTTAAGGCTCCATTCACATATATATCGTTTTGCGTTTCCCGCACGATTTTCTGCGTGGAAGACTGCGATGGTCTGAACGATGCACTTTAAAGTGCATTGAATTCTCTGTTTTAGAGCGGCACCGCACATTTCCGTACAGCCGAATACGCGCGGACAGCCGCTCGGGTGTTGGAGGAGCCCTCTTCTCTTTTTTTATTTTTTTATTTCTTCAAAGTATAAACTTGAGTGTCTGACTTTCTCTCCAATTTTATATTCAAATTCCTCCTAAAAGTATTTGTGAATCGTAAAAGCCTGTCATGGGACTCTCATACCTCTGCAACACTACATGGCCAACTGAGTGGCCACCACCATTTCCTGTGGGAGGGTCTTGGCTTCCTGTATCGTGTCTTTTCATTGGCCTGTGTCTCAGCCGGGCTGGAGACTCCTTCCTCCCATACACTGCCTAAACATCTCTCCTTGCAGCTTTTAGTTCTTTGAAACATGTCGGATGTAAAATACTGTAATGTGACGTAAACTGGCTCCCACTGCACAACCTTCCACATTGTTCATATGGGCAGAGCAGGACTTGTGTAAGATGATGATATATAAAGACAGAGTTGAGCTGGTAACATTTTTAAATACATGTAATTACTTTTAATACTTCTCTAGGCAAAAGGCTGTGTGCTATAAACTTCTCCTTTTTTAAATATGAACCATAGTTCAGGGGTGGACTAAGTAAATTGGGAGTCAGCAGGTTTTTTTTCAGGAGCCAGCTCCATTAAAAAGACAGAGCCTCAAAAGTTAGGCACCAGCTGCAATATTTAAGGAGCACTGGCTACCTGGCCCATTGAATACAAAGTAACAATTTCCCTGCATAACATACACCCTCTGCTGCTGATGCTTGTCTTTAGTTAGCCATCGTGCTGAGAAACACATGAAGGACTCTGGGCAAAATATTTCTTAACCCTTGTATGGAGACTCAGGAACAAAGCATTGCATTGTGGCTCAGGCATTGCCTGCTCAGGAACAGATCAATGCATTGTGGCTTCTGCCTGCAATGCTCTGTTCCTGAGCAGGCAGCTAGTTGGAAATCCTAAGTACTGTCGCAGGGACTTGGGGGGAATGGAAATTAAAGTTGGCCATACACTAATAAAATTCTTTCATTTTGCCTATGGACTGATTCCTCCATTCCGTCCTAAACCACATGGGCGGAGGAGCCCCCTGTATTCTGACAACACCCACCACTGTCAAAGTACCTGAACAGTGACTGTAGCTGATTTGCCTTCAGTCACTTTTCAGCCAAAAACCTTTGCTTGGCTCTTTCGATCAAAATCAATTGAGTAATCGACAAGTGTTGGCCAGCAGGGCCACCCACTGTTAGAATTGTGTCCAGTTCCCGTGAATCAGCTGAAATTTGCACACTATATGACCACAGAGCGGGTAAGCTGTGCAGCAAACCTGTTGCTTTACCTTGTGAAAACCGTTAAAAGGGGAATTTTGTTTTTCAAACCTTTTGATCTTGGATTGTATGTGACTTTAAATACCGGAGCTAGGCATCAATCTACTGTAAACCAAAACAAAGACTACCAGCTGCATTTATTCTTCATGTATACATTATTGTGTCTTGTTAGGTTTACGCCACCTTTTCCAATGAAGACTATGATAGACGTAACGACGAGGTGGACCCAGTGGCAGCATCTGCCGAGTATGAACTGGAGAAGAGGGTGGAGAAAATGGATGTCTTTCCTGTGGAAATTGAAAAAGGTAACATTGCTAGCCATGCACATCTTATTCTACCTTTTAGCACAATGCCAAGCAGGTTCGGTATAGATATCCCACGCATGTGACTAAATCTGTCTGTAAGGTGGAACTGCCCATCCTTTGTTGTGTGGTACATCCATGGCTGTACACACAGCAATCCATTGATGGCTACTTTCCAGTCGGTTTTTGATGTATGGCATGTCCATTTGATCTACCAATGTTAGTGGAATGTATAGTGAACATGTTGTTGGCCAGCACAGATGTCTGTGTGCTGGTTATCAATTACTTTGGTAATGGAAAAGAATGAACGGGAGTAACATCATCACTGGGCCCTCTGGTGAGGTCCTGGGAAAGTGAAAATCTCAAAACCTTGCTTACAACCCAGTTCAGATTTGGGCAGGAGGAGTTCTATAATTGTATTTTTGGATATTTGGAGAAGGGTTAGATCATCCACCAGATTTTTATTTTGCTCTGTGTACTTGTTGATGAGAATCTCTCTTGCTTCCTGTCCCACTGAGCACGACAGTGTATTAAAAACCTGACAGAGGGTTTGATCCTTCCCTACTGTAAAATGTGTTTTTATTGCAGTCTTTGCTTTTCTTCACTTCCCGTCCCTGTTAACCCCATCACTGGGAGCAACAAAAGAGAGCAATCCTTCCAAGTGGGCATAACGATGGCTGCAAAAACCTAACAACATGTTCTAACCTGTGCTATACTTTATAAAAGTAAAGAATCTAGTTTGTGTTATGGCCATGTGAGATATTCAGACTGGAGTATATGAAACCATTAGTTCCTAGAGGAAGATTGCTGCATTGCTTTATACCCTTTTTTTTGGGCACTGTTTGATCAGTGGACACTCTTCTCATGTCTTTGGCTGTTTCTGTGTTGTATACTCAGGCGACAGTGGCCTTGGCATCAGTATCATTGGAATGGGGGTTGGTGCAGATCAAGGTTTGGAGAAATTGGGAATCTTTGTAAAAACGATTGCAGAAGGCGGAGCAGCTCAAAGGGATGCACGGTATGTAACCATTTTACTTTATAACATTGTCTAATCTTTGGTAATATAGATGTTTTCTGATCATATTTTCTTTTTGTTCAATCTGTAAAGGCATGAAAGCCGTGAGACCTCCTGGGTGCCAGAAAAGGGGCTTGCCATAGGTTGAGATGTACGGCAAGCTTTTCTTTTTACTCAGCTGAACAGCTATCTCATGTCTGTGGTACCAGCAGGCAGTTCTAGCTGGCCAGTTGAACCGTTTCATGCAAGCTTGAATTATAAAGTTTGTGCTGAGGTTATTTTCACTGAAAACCTCATGTATACACGGTTGGTTATGCAAATCTGAGTAAAAGTTCCTCCTAGTCCTCCTGTCTAGTGTCCCGACTGGTTAGTGAGACTGCCATTACATTACTGGATGACCAGCACAGTATGTAGAATGACAAGGGGTAAAGAGTGACTATACCAAAACGTCAAGGTAACCTTCTGAGAGAACCTTTCTGCGAATACTAGTTGCCTGGTTGTCATGTTTATTGTCTTGGTCTTGGTCAGTTTGTTGCTGGCCTGGAATAAGCTTGCAGATGAGGACTTTCTCATACTTAACAGGTAAGCATGCTTGTTGCATTCTGGGACCAGCTAGTCCGCATGCTAGCCAGGCAAATAGGAGCTCCGAGTGTAGACCTGAAATGTTTTATTTCAATATTTTTATAACTCTTGACGTTTAACCAAAGACTATTTTTTGAGACAAATCAATGATGCGCTCATTCAAGTAAAGTTTGTTCCGCATTACACATTTTAAAAACATTTACCCTTTTGCTGCGCTTTCCTGAACATCCCGTCGGGGAGTGTGCAAATTTACTAGTAACCATATCAGACTCTTCAGGACTAAATGTCCCCTCATGCCTAGCACATGTGTGCTCCCTCGTGCTGAGGACTTTGCCTTGGCCGACATGTTCAGGCAGTCCAGAGGACAACACATGAAAGACGCGCCTCTGCTCCTCCAAGTCAAAAAAACAATCGAAAGAAAACAAATTCTTTATAAATATTGTTAAAGAAGAACTCCTAGTAAAAATTGTATTAACTGTTGCAATGGGGCTGCCCCCGCACTTCAAGGTTTGAGTGCTCATTTTTGCCTAGGGTCAAAAGTAACAGTTTTTGACTCGCCTGATTATCTGAGCCGTCTGGCCATGACCGTGCTTCCTCCTCGGCTGCAGCTATGGTATGTCCATCAGCATCCTCATGTCATATATAGTGTGTATAGAACGTGATGACTCGAGGAACCTTAGACCTCCACAGGTGAGGGGGAGAGAGGCTCTATTGACCGGTCTAAGAGTCGGAGGTTTAGGTGAGGTATAACTTTATTTTTGACTCTAGTCAAAAATGAGCGCTTACAGTGGTAGCCTCACTGCAAGGGTTGATCAAAGTTTTACCCGGATTTGTTATTTAAAAATACTTTTGTGTTCTTGAATTGATGGCGCTACCTACAGAGCCGCTGTCAGTAATTTTTCTTCGGAGGCAGAGCAGAAGCGTGTCTTTGGGCGTTTCCTGGTCTGTATGTATTGGCACAGGTACCATATGCACCTTGTGCTGTAGTCTGATGCTGGGAGCACACACACAAGGATGATTCCAGCGGGACTTCATAGGATCCTGCAAGGGACAGGAGCCACCCTGAGACTGGACACTGGGTCGCTTCTTTTCAAGACCATATGAGTTGGCAAGAAAATACATTTTGAATATCTAAAAGCTGCATGGACTGTAAGTATTTACATTAGGATTACAAAAACCAACTCCACATTTCACTTTATCTAGTTGCCGATATCTCTGCATCTCCGGCTTTGACATGTTTTCGGTGGATGTAATCACTGATGCATTTTTTTTCATCATATGCTTGGTTTGAATTTACAGGTTCGTGAGCGATTTGTTTGTCAGTTTAGGTCATAGGGAGTTGTTGTACAATTCTCTGCAATGCGGTTCTAGCTGTATGTGACGTCGCTGATGTGTAATGTTTATCCAGACATGCTTTGTACATGATAGACACCCTAACACATGCTTCAAGTGTGCTCAGTAATGTGCATACTGAAATGTGTCATTGCATTTCTTCAGGGTGCGTTGAGTATGTCACCAATGTCAAGAATTTGAAAGAAACACATATGGTGCTGGCTTATTTTGGTAACCTAATAGTTTTTCTATACATGTGCAAGCAGCAATAATGCAGATCATGAATAATGACTGTGTAATTTCTGTAGTTAAAGGAACTTTTCAGGGCAATGGCACCCCCACTTAACTCGGCCTTCACCTGCCACTCTGTTCAGTTGAGCTCTTGGAGATTCCTGGTAGGTTTGCATATGGGGAAATGACCAGGACTTCTCTCCTCCGTCCCAGGATGCAGTGCTCAGAGCTGAGCAGCCCTTTGCTAGGCCTGAGCACTGTCGTGGGGGAGGGGAAGAAGGTCATTAACCCTTTGTAAGCTCCAACACTAACCAAATCAGAGTTTGTGCAGGGATCTGACTCAGGGCTGTGGCAGGGAAACAGGGCGTCGGGGACGCAGGTAAGATAAATGCTCTAAAATTGCAAGTTAAAATTGGTGCAAGCATACAGATTAGTGCAAGGCCTGAACCTGGGAACCCGTATAAACTGTTGGCTTCAGCTGTTCTTGACTGCACAGGCCAGAGGTCATATAGGTTTTGAACACCTCCCTCTGAGGGCCTGTTCACACCCAGTTGCAGTGCGATCCAGCAAGAACGCGCTGCCTCGCATTGCGGCCGGCTCACTTTTTAGTGGGGCAGGAGGGGGCGTGGTGGGCCATTAAAGTGAATGGCACTGTAGCCACGCCCTCCAGGCGCAATGCGATTCCCAAGGCACATTGTGTCTGTGGTCTGGTGCGAACAAAATAGTGCTTGCAGCATTTTGATCGCACCGCATCGGACTACAGGCACAATGTGCCTTGGGATCCCGTGCGGGCAGTCGCATTGCGGCCGGAGGGCGTGGCCGGCTGCAATGCGAGGCAGTGTGTTCTGGCCAGAATTGGGCCGGAACGCACTGCAACTAGTGTGAACGGACCCTGAGTATGTCCGCATGCTCCTGTATTTGCATAAGGGGCAGAGACCATCACTGAACAGCACAGTGTTTCCTGTGACTCGCCCCAGTCTATCCTCTGTTTCCCCCTTCTCATTTGATAGAACTGCATTAAAAAATGCGTCTGAAAAGAGTGCAGGAGACGGAGGATTGGGTTCAGATATAACAAGCACTATGCAAGTATGCATGCATTACTTTTAACTTGCAATTTCGGAGCGGTAGCATTTGAAAAGCACTTTCGTTTAGCTTTAAAGTGTATTTCCACTTTTTGCAGCCAAATTAGGATAACAGCTATTCTTTATTTTGTTGCTTTTATTCACATTGCATAACTTTAAAATATATAGATTGCTGCTTAAATATTCCTCTTTCCTGAAAGGGACTTCTAAACTGCTTGTACTGCTGTGCTGGTAGATCTCGGTATTCGTTGTGAGGTTAAAGTTGAAGGTTAAAAATCTAGAATTGTATGTTAGAGGAAGCTCAGTGTGTCCCTAGTCTTTCTATGGGGACAAGCAGAGTTCCCTGTCACTTTGAAATTGGACAGAGAAGCTTGCAAACACGTTCTGGACAGACTCATCTAAAAGGTAAATGTGTTTTTTAAAACAAACTTTTTAGAAATGTTGTGTAAATGGCAACACAAACCTATATAGTGGGGGGGGGTTTCTCAAATTTGTGAGCAGGTATAATGGATTACGAATTGTCTCCAGTACAGCCATCATTCATCCAGCTGTTCAGTGCTATCCTGGACAGGGTGGCCTCATCTTGTGTCTGTGAGAATCTCATAAAAGGATTTATTAGTACAAAAAGCGAATTGTTAAATAAGCGGAGCTGCAGGATTGTGAATTTTACAGTGCTTGCATTTTATAACCTTGTCCTAATCCATTTCCCTTACATTCCTTCTCAAATGTATACCCAATGCTCTGGATCCCGGATACAGTTTTATCTGCTGAAATGCCCTTGCAATGTTCACTTTCCTGCTTCCCCACACATATGTCTGTGTCTATGCGAATTATTCTCTAGGAAGAATAAACTAACCCTGGAGGTGGTTCCTTATTTTGTATGGTAAATGCTGGCATGGGACAGCAGGAGAGAAAGCTGTAGCAGAGGATGTAAACATTGCCACGGTTCTATGAAGGGCACACCATTCAGCACACAGTAGAATGGCACCTAGGGCTTTAACAGCTGGTATATTGGGAAGGATGGGGGAGAGAGAGGGTATAAAATACAAGTTTTCATTAGGAGGTTGAGTCCCCATGTTCTTCTATAAATCCCTTTTGAACATCTATAACATTGTCCGGCATAGGACAACATAGCTTTTTACTTTTCTGTTTTTGCTTAGTCAATATTGATTGTCATTGCCTAATCATGAAACCCGTGTTAATGATTGAAATGTCTGAACCACTCTAGATTTTGTCAGCTGGCTGTAACCTTTTTATTCTGATGGGTCCCTGAATATGAGTTGATCTTTACCATTTGCCCTGCACTTTTATACCATTGTCTTTTTATCCCTGTTCCCAGGATTCAAGTCAATGACCAAATTGTGGAGGTAGATGGTACTAGTTTAGTTGGAGTGACACAACTCTTTGCAGCCACGGTACTGAAGAACACCAAAGGCACAGTCAGGTGGGTGAAAGCTTTGTTTAAAATGTTCTCTGCTAAAAATGCCTGAACTTAAAATGATTGTAAATTTATAATGGTCAGACTCGGCCTTGCTGCTGCTTTTCTATGTCAATAAGTAATGACATGCTGCACATTCATGACTTTAAGTAGAATGCTTATACAGAGTTCTCGTGTAATGAGAAGAACAAGTTATTGTTTCAAATGAGGTGCTTCCTAAACAACTACATATGTCCACCTAACGTTGTTTATGTGTTTGTTATTGTGGATATATTAGGGAATGGTTAAAACGTCACTGTTTTTGTTTTTGGCATCTGTATCCCAATGATTTACCTTTTTTAGAACCCTGTTCACAGTGGGGTGGTTCGGCCATGCGGATCCGCCGACATGAATGATCCCATACATTGTTATGGGGACCATTCATGTGACCACACGGGTCTGCGCGATCGAAACCGCCTCCCGCCCCAATTTGCTCCCTGAGCTTTTTTCTTTTTTTTCAGCGCGGTTTGCATACAGCTTTCAATGGAACCACGCTGATCAGCATGGCTTTGGGAGTTTTAAATTGTGTTTCAGCTCTGAAACACCGCCTTTTTAAAAATCATGCAGAAACAGTGCTGATCGGCGGCCTTACTCCGATCCTGTGCACACAACAGCAAGTGAAAATAACACTCTCCAAAGTAATGGACTTATCCTATGAGACAAAGTTATGGACATATCCTATGAGACAAAGTAATGGACTTATCCTATGAGACAAAGTAATGGACATATCCTAAGAGAGTTGTCACTGGAACAAGTGTTCCTTTTCTTGTTATGACTGCTTAAAATTGTAAATGTGTCATCACTCTCTGTCCCCAAGAATAGTTACCAAGATAGGAATAAAAACCTCACCCTTACCGCTCTCTCCAAAACGTGCATGTGAGGCCAAGGCCTTTTTTTCTTCTTCTTCTTTACACTTTAACATATCGCTTTTCTTTGCAGTAGGAGCGCAAATAATTTGCAATCCAGTAAACAACCTTGAACAATTGTCACTATACACATACTGCTCCCTACTTATTGACTGCACACCTAACATTCAAATGCTAGTTTTCCCCAAAATTGGGCTAGGTCAATGCATACCTGTCAGTAATGCTAAGCTTTAAAACGTCTTTTATAAATAATAGTACTGGCCTAAAAGAACCACAGGTCTGTATCTGTTCCTAATTGGCACGTTTCATTGTAGAGGCAAAAGTTTTGTTTGGAGGGAAAATGACTATCCTGCCCTTTGCTAGCAGATCACAGTTGGGTTTTTTTTCCCCAGCTCACATTAGGGAATGTTAGTTGGAATCTGAGCTCAGTCCAGACCCCTTTTATGCTGGAGATCTAATGTATTTTCTGTGGTATGTATAATGTTCCTCACTATCTGCATTCATTACAAAAAACAAACTGTTTTGACCTGCACTGTAATACCTCTTTGATCTATTTTAGAGTGAAGCGACTTGGCACAGCAGAGCAAAATTGACTTGTGTTCCATGACATTTAACCCTGCATAGTTAGCATCCTGCTCTTTTGGCTTTCTAGATGTAGAAAGAAAAATTCCTTAATAGTCCTCAGATGAAATGTGCCTGGTGAATGGTCAGTTGTAAGCTTGCCAAGGTAGAATAAAGGCTGGACTATGTAGGCAGTCCCAGCTTGCGAATGATTGTATTTCTCTGTGGGCTCAAATTGCATGCAGTGATTTTGGGCAGCAGTTCTCAAACCTATTCCGTTCAGTCCTCATGTGCTACGACTTTCTGACCCCCCCCTGAGCATCGCCTATTTCACACCGCATTTCGGAACTACAAATATTGCTGAAAGTGACTTTAATCAGAACTTCTATAAATCATTTTGGTTTATAGCAAATAATTATAAAAAGATTTATTTTTAAATCTAATGCAAATTGATTCTGATATCCAGGCAGGTATTCATTACCATTTAATGTCATTAAAATATATGGAGGTCTGATGCAGATGTGACCTATTTTCCACTGAAGTGACCTTTGTGGGGCTGGACAGTGTTTGCAGTCCGGGGACGTGCTGTTTGCAGATACATTCTTTGGCCAGATGTCCGTGCTTCTGTTTAGTTCCTCTCTACCCATCCTGTCCACACCAGCTTCTGTTCATTTTTATGCACTGTTTGTCTGTCTGTATTTGTTCACTGTCTGTGTGCTGTGTCTAAACCGCTTCTGCCCACTTGGTTCAAACTCTGTGGATTCTGCCTTCTGCCCACTTTAACCTGCTTTGTCCATATTCCTTTCTAATACAATGTCTTCCTTCCTAACATGGCCAAAATATTTGCTAATAACCTAGTACTTCTACTTTTTATATAGGAAGACTTGTGCCTCATTTAAAGAGACAGTACACCGCTCACAGTAAGAGGAGGGCTGGGGCAGGGCATTACTTGGAAATAGGCCTAAAATAGTAATTATTTTGCCAACATCCTTGGCTAAAATAAAATTGTTCTTCCTTCTTGTATAAGTATAGGAAGGCCCAGGATAGGGTATTTAGAGAGAACGATGCATCAACTGGCTCTCCATCTCAGCAGCCAGTCAGGGCATATGCCTCTCATTTTCTTTTACTGGGCAGTGATGATATGGGGAAGTAGTGGAAAATCACGGACATGTCACTCTGGCTACCTTTTAAGTATTTGTAAGCTATTTTTACTTTTCTGAATGTAGTCTGAATGAGAGCAGGCACAACAGGTCCTGACTTTAGGTTTAAATGGAAATTCGAGCACAAAGTGAGATTCTTCCCCCTCTACTTTTAATGACCATACCAGGTGGATGAGGCTTGGAGTTCAGATGTAGCGATCTCTCCACCAAAGTAATTCAGATATTTCCAAACTGTTCCATCCAAATCTTCTGATTCTTTCCTTTTTATTCATAAAATGGATCTTTTATTCAATATAAGTCCGAGCAATGTTCAATATAATCCAAGCAGCTGTCATTAATCTTTTTGTAACTAGAATATTTCCTCCCCTCATAGTGGGTGGCCTTATAGTTGCTCAGACAGGTAAAATATATCACTGGTGAGAGTCCTAATCTGCCAGCATTTGTAGTACCTTTTTATTGTGCTATTTTTTTTTTTAAGAGAACCTGACCTCTTTTGGCTTATGCAAGAATCAGACTTATTCATAGTCAAATGATTAGAGTTGGGGAGACTTAAGCTGGGCATACACTATAAGAATTTCGGCTGGTTCTTGAATAACCGGATGTAATTGCACAGTGGGTGCCGCTGTCTGCACACTTTCCAGCGGCATCCCTCGATTAGCTAATCGAAGGAGCCAGTCGGAAAATCTTCGAACAAACTGAGCCAAATGAGCTGCTGTTTGGGTATTCTGACAGCGGACAGGGTCATAATAGAATGGAAACAGTGGGAGCTTCCTCGATCAACGCTTGCGAGTGTTGATGGAGGATTCTGTAATATTTTCTTCATTTAACCTGCAGGTTGAAGAAAGAAAATATCTGTGTATAGCCAGCTTTACCTGTGAAAGATTTATACCACCCACCTTCCTCATTTAACTTCACTTCCTTTTATCTGAGGAGGGTGGTTCCTGGAGGTACGAGTCACAGATGAGAAGTGCCCTGAGGACTGGCAATCATTGCCCTGTCAACTGTCTGACCTCATGTTTATACCATCATGTCTAGGCACGCATACCAGTATCGGATACAGTGCCCTGAGGTGGTTTACATGAATCCTAACCGAGATCAGCTTTTTGATCCCAAAGCTTGAGAACAATATAGGTTTTACACAATTATTGTACATATGATGGTAACACCCAGTACAGATGCATCGGAAACTTCTACCGTGCCCTCTTGTACAAGGGCAGGACCCTGCATCCTAGTGCTAGGCTGTACACATGGCCTTCACTCTCCAGCCTTTCCTAAGGCTATGTCCACCTATCATTCAGTTCTAAAGTATCTGAGCCTCTGGTGGCCACTAAGGTTCTGGCATTTGACAGTACTAGGATGGGGCAGGGTTCATTGCCCATGTTCTACCTTTGCCTTGTTTCCTGGGCTCTCCCCAGGCACAAAGGAACGGAGTTGTAAATAGACACTGTGATTTACCAGTAATGAATTTTGTACTTTTCTGTGTACATGACAAATTTTACTTTTAAATAAAACATTTTAAATATGCTCATTAAAAATTGCCTAATGTATTATGTATATTTTGTTCTGGTTGAAGCTCGTATTTATAAATCTGTCGCATGATAACACATGCCTTGCTTTCATTTCTTGTTTTTACTTTTCCCACCTTAGATTTCTTATTGGGAGAGAGAAACCAGGAACACAAAGTGAGGTGGCACGTCTTATCAGTGAGACTCTGGAGCAGGAGAGATGTCAGCAGATGTACGAGCAGCACTACTCTGAGGGCAGCACTGGGCAGGTAATGGCAATGACTTATGTAGGTCTTTAAAGTACACCATTGTCATTTACTTAGAGGAGCCCTGTACTGAGGAAGTATGGACGTCACCATCGCTGACCTTTCCCAACAAAAATGCTTTCCTAGCCATGTTGCCACTTTAGCAATTCTAGCTGACAGATGTACTAACTGTATGCGCATTTTTTCCTGTTTATAATATAACTTGGTGTTTTAGACCAGAAAAAGCAGCCAATTTGTTGGGTGTTTGAATATTCACCATCTAATATCACTAGCTGAACTCCCGAACATAGCTAAAATTTTTATGTTGCATGAACCAAATTCCTTTGCTAACCTAGACGTTACCTTGTACAAGAAGCAGTGACATCATCAATAATGTACATAACCTGTGCAGACAGAGAATCTGGGAAATAAAAAAAAACACACTAAAGGCTGCCTGCAGAATGCTACAGGAGGGGGTGTATACAAGACCAGTCACTCTGCTCAAGGAGAGAGTTGGTCTTAAAAGAGCACTATAGCCAAACCTTTTTTGGCCATAGTTTTCTTTAGGGTCATAGAAGGTGGCGCTGCAGCCGGGACGGATCCCGACAGTATTGTCGGGATCCACCCAGCTGTCTGACGGCTTGTTTTGCCTCTAGCAATCGTATAGCGGTATGTGATCACTTGGTTCTCGATCTATAGTGCCGAGGTGTGACAGCTTCAGTGTCACACATCGGCTCTTAACTATTGGGGTGAGTATTTCACTCTCCCCATAATTCTCATGTAATACCTGGAAGCTTCAGCACAGAGGAAGTATGGACAGAGGCACAATTTCATGCTGGATTCGTGTACAGATCTGGAGGAAATATACAAAGTACAGCAAAATTCAAGACTAAATACACATGCCTCTTGTATTGTGTACAATATTTGCTCATCTCTCAGCTTTAAGAGGTCTTCAGATAAAACCTATTCTTCTGTAATATATATGCCTTCAGATGGCTGCTTACATGTTATGTTTTAGAATGCATGTTATTGCAATAAGCTGTTGTGCAAGGGTTTTTGTGTATATGTCCAGGACCAAAACTAAAGGAAACGGAATTTCAGTGACAATACACTCCGAGTCAGCAATGACGGTGTTCATATTTGTCAGGACGGCTGTAAATTGTCAACTCACTGTCTCAACTCTTTTCCATACTTGTATCTGTGTGTCGCATATATATTTATCTTGTTTGCAGGAAGAAGATTTTGAAGATGAGGAGGATGATGACGACGACGATGATCATCTAGAGTCCCAGTCACATGGCAATTCTGTGGAAGTTTTCGAGCTGCCAGAAAACGACATCAGTTTCTCTCTGGATATGGATATGGACACATCACAGATGGCTTTAAAATTTAAAGAGGTACACAGGATGTGGGATATGGTTGTGTATGACATTATGATATGGGCAGACGTAACAATTATGTAGGACACAACCGTATTCTTGTGTCATGCAAATTGCAGCAGACTCTGGGAGGAAATGGTGCATACATCGAGGTCTTGTGTGTGTTTGGGTTGTTATTTGTTTTAGTTAGGTGCTAGGTCCTAGTAACAGAATGACAGTATTGGAGTCAGTCATACAGGGAATTAAACAAAAAATCTGTCTCAATAAACCACAATATATA